TTGTACTGTCCAAAAATTTTTTCCCAGTCTGTAGGTTCTCTTTTTACTCTTTTGGCGAAGTCTTTTGAAGAGCGTAAGTGTTTGATTTTTGGAAGATGCCCGTTATCTAGCTTATCTTCTGGAGTTTGTGCGTTGATGGTTATGGTTTGTATCCTGTTAATGCCACGTATTAAGGCCTCTAGCGTTGATCCTATTTTTTCTTCTATGAACTTTATGGTTTTGGGCTTCATATTTAGGTCTTTGATCCATTTTGAGATAACGTAAACATTTTCTTCTAACCTTCCTGATATCATCTCTTAGTAGCATCTCTTAATCATAAACTTTAATGCAGCCGACAGATGTAATTTTATGTTTGAACTTGAAATTATTACTTTGATTTCCCTAATGATAGTTATTAAAAGCATTGGAGCACTTTACACGTGTTAGGCGTGTGCATTTGTTAATAAAACCAGGGTTAAAAAAGTGGAGAAGGCCTGTGCGAATCCACTGCTTTTTGAAATACAGATTCTGAATATTGTTTTCAAAGGATTGCTTTAATGGCATGCTACAATCTCTGCTCATTATCTTAAATTCACTTGCGGGTCATTTGTTCTTAACTGCTTAAAAAAAAAAAAAAAGTGAGTGTGCACCATGGTTTTGCTTCAAAGGAAATCAGGTGCAATTGTTCCTAATGAGGGCTTATTTGAAAATGAAAGCTCCGAGAAAATCGCACGCCTAATTTTCAATGCTTCGAGCGTTACAGATGTTGACACTGTGGTGAAACAGAGCTTCTGCCTAGCAGTTAGAGATGAGACTGGAGATGTACCTGTGCTATACTGAATTCTGTCCTCTAGCAAAAACATTTTATAATGATGTCCTGGTACCAGTGGTGACACTTGGGTTGGTGTCACCCCCCCCATACTGATTACCACAACATTAATGCTAAAACACCAAAAAAAATTGCCAAAATCAGTGACTGTAAAAACACCAGTAGCAATAATGAAAACAACAGCGCGTGCTTGTAGCGCGTGCCGACGGAAACCAAGTGGTTCGAAGTGACATTGTCATTGGGCAATAATGACAGCTCTGACCTGAGTGCATGAGAAAGTTCATAAAGTAAATTAGCGTAGAGTTTTAGCCTTGTAGGTAGATTAGTACATGTAACCTGGGCTTAGGAAACATGTTTTTGTTGTTATAACTGACTACAAGGAGATCTTTATAAAATAATAAATTTCTGCAGAAACACGGCACGAAAATTTTGCAGACAGCCATTTTGGTGTTACCCCCTCTGACAGCATCACCAGTGCGGTCTGCACCCCCCTGGTGATATCACTGCCTGGTATATTTATATTAATACAACATAGGAAACATGGTTCTCCCGTACTTGGAACAAACTTAAAGCAAAATTCCAGCAAAAGCTCCAGAGCTATTTCTAAAGTTGTAAAGTATGTTGTTGTTTCTTTTTAATTCCCCAGCAAAATAGGACCTAAGATTTCAGGAATAATAGAACATATTATGACTATTTTATGTATAGAGAAAAACAGACCATGGAAGGGAGCTGCTAGCTTATTGTGAAGGACCAGAAAGCATATGAAAAGAATGCTGAACTTACTAGCAACTTTAAAATTGCAGAAAAAAAAAAAAGGTGCCAATTTTGTCATCTAGGTTTATCCAAGTTGAAGAGAATGATATTATCTAGGGCTGACGTGGATGTGGAGCACCAGTCACACTGTTTGGAATGCTGACGGATGCAGACTTTCACAAGGATGGTGTCTTCATCAGAAGCCTTGAAGTCCATATCCTCTGATCTAGCAACTCCATCTCTGGGAATATAGTCTAAGGAGATATTTGGGCCAGGGGACAAAAGCTACAGGTCAAGGATATTCATTGTAGCATTGTTTATAATGTAAAAAATTGGAAACACCAGTAATATTCATTAGTAGGTAATTAAATTGTGATTCTTTTATACAGTGAATACCTTGTAGCTATGTGGAGTGATACTGTCTAGGAAAAGCCTGCATGGTGCAGGGAGTTAGCAACTAGTAGGTGTAATATGGCCTCATTTATGGCTAAAAAATGTGTGTGCACTGAGACTTAGTGGATATGTATAACAAAATGCTAACTGGATTATAGATGGCAGGAAATCTTGATTTTGTTCTTTGTTGATATTTTTAAATATAAGAAATATGCACATGTATTTCTTATAAGTGAAAAAAAAATTAAAGTTTTTAAATGTATCTAGAATTAGGAGGCCTGTTGCTACAATAGTTCAGCACTTGGCTGCTCACTGAAAAGTTCATGGTTTGAACCCACCCACGAGCTCTGCTGGAGAAAGACCTGGCAATCTGCTCCTGTAAAGATTACAGCCTAGAAAACTCTATTGGGCAGTTTACTCTTCACATGAGGTTGCTATGAGTCTAAATTGACTCCACGGCACCTAACAGCAACACCTTTGACTTCACACTTCTGCTTTTATCTGTCCCACAGCTATAATTGCATGAGCGTGCAAGGATGTATGTTAAATAATGTTCACTGCAGCATTGTTAAAAGCAGTAAAAATGAGTGAATAAATGAGTGAATAACCTATCTACCTATTCCCTATTGTCAGGAATTTAAGTAAGAAGGTCATCGTATAGCCATGCTTCATAGCCGTTGAAATTGAACATGTAAATCTGTTCATTGATATGGGAAAGATGGTCACAACATATAACATGGAAAAGGCAGATGAACAAGCCTGCTGAGTGTGTGTAGACAGGTAGGTAGGTATGTAGATAAATAAAAGTCTGGAATGTTATACACGACAATGTCAATACTAATTATTTCTGGGCCATGAGATTTCTGGATAAAGTTCCAACTTTTTCTATGTGTCTGTATTTTTTTAAACTTTGTACAGTGAATGAAACTTATTTTATTACTAATAAAAGTAAAACTTGACAAAACTAGAGATCAAAAAGGAGCCCTGGAGGCACAAAAGTTAAATGCTCAGCTGTTAACCGAAAGGTCAGCAATTCAAACCCACCAGGCGGCTCCACCTGAGAAAGACCTGGTGATCTGCTTGCTAGGCTTAAAGATTACAGCCTGGGAAACGCTCTGGGGCCGTTCTACTCCGTCCTACAGGGTTGCTGTGAGTCGGAATGGACCCAATGGCACCCGACAACAACATAATGATCGCGTATGTAGGAAGTAGAGAATCAACTGAAAAATTATCAGAAACAAAAGACGTCAGTAACATGGGTGGCTAGTTATAACTGGGGTGGTGCCGGAGGTGGGAGGAGAAGGAACACTGGATACATTCATAATCCACTAGGAAAAGTTTCAAGGCATCAGTGCTGTGCCCGGTCATTATCACCCACCAGGCTTCCTATTCACAGGACGTACACCTCGCCCTCCGCCAGGCACCGCAGCTCACTTGTTTACCTATAAGACATGGGTGCTCCCTTCTCTTACGGATCATGAGGCCAGAGACAGGGTTCGGATATAAATAAAAATGACAGAGGACTTTATGGGAAGAGGGATCATCAAGTGGCCAAAGAGGAAGAACAGTCTTGGGGAAAGAGGACCGAGACTATAATGAGATAAAAGAATGGCTTTCAAGCTGGCGCCTCAGAGCGGAAGCCAGCCCAAACCCTTTTTTGGTTGTCATTAGTCGCTGTTCCAACTCATGGGGACCTTATGTAAAACAGATTAAAACTTTGCCCAATCCAGCGCCATTTTTATGATGGTTGGTATGGTTGAGCCCATTGTTGTGACCCTTGTGTCAGTCCATCTCCATGAGAGTTTCTCTCGTTTTCACTGACGATCTGCTTTACCAAACAAGATGTCCTTTCTAGCTCTGGGTCTTTCCTGATGACGTGTGTCCAAGGTAGGTGAGTGAAATCTTGTACCTGCTATGTTAGCTTTTTAAGTTTTTTAAATAATCTATCATTTACAAATTGCCAGAGCTCCCATTTTAAAAAATCTGGATTTTCAACCTCTCTTGAAACACTGGAAGATCTGGCAATGCACAACACCCTTTCCTGTGAGGGCGGCGGTTGGCCGGAACTAAGCAGCACCTACTCGCCACCTTTAGACGCCGGAGGGCGCTCCAGCTGCTGAGAGCGGGTGCGCTTCCTTCTGGTGCCCGTCACTTCTTCACTTATCTGTCTGCCCTTGGAGGTATTTCATTCGGGACCCCGCTGTTGATACTAAGTTACAGCTATTGGGCAAACTTGCTTGACCTTCTCAGGAAAAGTGATGGAAGTGTCTGAACAAGTTATGAAAAATTTGCTTCATCAAATGCACAACTTGTTTATAGCCAATCACCACCACCGCCAGTTGCTGTCAAGCTGACTCCAAGTCATGGCGACTCCATGTGTGTCAGAGTAGAACTGTGCTCCATAGGGTTTTCAATGGCTGTGATCTTTCGGAAGCAGATGGCCAGGACTTTCTTCTGAGGCACCTATGGGTGGACTCTAACCTCTAGCCTTTTGGCTAGCAGCTGAACACGTTAACCATTTGCACTGCCCAGAGACTCCTTATATCCAATAATATATCCCTGTATATTGAAATGGAGCCCTGGTGGCGCAGTGGTTAAGTGATATGGCTGCTAACCGAAAAGCTGGCAGTTCAAATCCACCAGCCACTCCTTGGAAACCCTATGGGGCAGTTCTACTCTGTCCTCTAGGGTGGCTACGGGTCAGAGCCCTCGTGGTGCAGTGGTTAAGCATTCAGCTGCTAACCAAAGGGTCGAACCCACCAGATGCCCCGCAGGAGAAAGATGTGGCAGTCTGCTTCCATAAAGATATACACCCTTGGAAACCCCATGGGGCAGTTCTACTCTGTCCTTTAGGGTCACTATGAGTCAGAATCAGCTCAATGGCAGTGGGTTTGGATTTTGTTTATTTTTATATATTAAAATAGGGATTACATTAAAATATTTAATAAAATAAAAATTCCATTTTTAAAATTGACAAAAATTGTGTACATTTAAAATGAAAATAAAAGATTGAGGGCCATCTTTGTGGGGACGTGGCATCGTCTCCATCCCTCCACCCCTGCAACCCCCATCCTTCCTTCTGGGTACTACACCCCATGCAGAGTGCTTTGTGGCCCAGGGAAAGCCTTCTGTGCTTTGACGCATCGGTAAGATGAATCGAGCCTTTAGATTTTACATTTTCCAGAAGCAAGTTAAGTAGGAAGAAAATGGGACAGGCTTTCCCTGTCACTTTTGCTGTGCTTTTTCCCAGCTTATATTCTATGCCTGACTGCCAGGTCTGCTAGATGTTCTAGAAGTAGCAGTAGCGTTAATTGCATTTACCCTTTATTTTTAGTGAAAGAAGGTGGAAGTTCTTATACTTTTTCCACGATGGAGCAGATGAACATCAGGGCACTCTGAAACTCTGACTCGCTATCATTTATGATAAAAAGAGCTAATTTCCTCCGATTTGGCTGATCTAAAGCTAAAGGTTGTTTATGGACTTTAAATAAGTAAGTATAACCTATTACCATATTTTCACACAAGTAACGCAGGCCTTCTACATTTGTTTGCCAACTGCGCCCTCCCGCCTGCGAGATATTTTCATAAGCACGGCTATGCGAATTTTTTTTACACGCTGCTGTAAAAATTAGCATAGCACACTTATGAAAATACCTCTGAGGGAAGGGCACAGCAGGCAAACAAACTTAGAAAGCACCTGTTATTTGCGTAAAAACGTACTTGTGCCCTCCATTCCATCTCCTTGACCCCCTCCTGGACTGTGGGTCTCAGTGAGCCTTTCTTTGGTATCATCAGTTTTTCTTACCACTAGTCACTTCTTCTCAGGAAAGGAAAAAGTTTAAGAAAACCTTGTTTTTAAGAACCTTTAGAGGACTCATCTTGGTGCTGTTGTATTTCTTGCTTGCTGTCGTTTGAGTCCAGTGCTCAGCAGAGCACCTGGCACCCAGTCAGAGCTGGAAGAATGTTTTCTGAATTTGAATCAGCCAAGTTTCTCACCATCTACTTCCTGCGCAGCGTGTTGCAGTCAGATTTTATGCGCCCCCTTAGTCCCCCCAGCACCGTGATGACTGAGGTGCGCCTGACCGAAGCCATGGTGTTTTCCATCACCCCATATGCATGCGAAAGCTGAACAATGAAAATGGAAGATCAAAGAAGAATTGACGCCTTTGAATGATGGTGTTGGTGAAGAATATTGAGTATACCACGAACTGCCAGAAGAACAATCTGTCCTGGAAGAAGTACAGCCAGAATGCTCCTTAGAAGCGAGGATGGCATGACTACGTCTCACATATTTTGGACATGTTATCAGGAGGGACCAGTCCCTGAAGAAGGACATCATGCTTGGTAAAATAGAGGGTCAGCAAAAAAGAGGAGGACCCTCAATGAGAGGGATTGACACAGTGGCTGCAACAATGGGCTCAAGCATGACAACGATGTGAGGATGGTGCAGGACCAGGCAGTGTTTTGTTCTGTTGTATGTGGGGTCACTGTGAGTCAGAACCGACTCCATGGCACCTAACAACAACTCCTCCTCCATGGAAGGTGAGAATTCTATCCCTGAGTCACTACTGCCCCCCTTGAAATGGTTAGTACTTTAAGAAATCCTTCTGAGCTTTTTACTCTAGTAGTTCTCAACCTTTGAAGCACATCAGATTCACTTGGGGAATTTTGGAAAAAATAGAAATGCAAATACCCCACAAGGAAAGTATTAGTGCAAAAGACAAAAGGGCCACATAAACCAGAGACTCCGTCCGCCTGAGACCAGAAAAACTAGATGGTGCCCGGCTACCACCCTGACAGGGAACACAACAGAGACCCGGATGGACCAGCAGAAAGACAGGGTGCAGAACTCAAATTCTAGTAAGAAGACCAGACTTAATGGTCTGACTGAGACTGGAGGTATCCCAGAAAGCATGGCCCCTGGATTCTCTATCAGCCCAGAACTAAAACGATTTCCGAGGCCAGCGTTTCAGACAAGGATTGGACTGGACTGTAGGACGTAAAGTGATACTCGTGAGGAGTGTGCCTCTTAGCTCAAGTGGATACAAGAGACCAAAGGGGCAGCTTCTGTCCAGAGGTGAGATGGGAAGGCAGAGAGGGTTAGGAGCTGGTTGAATGGCCATGGGGAATCGGGTGGAAAGGAGGCGTGTGCTGTCGCAGAACGGGGTGAGCCATTAGGGTCACATAACAGTGTAAGTATAAAATTTTGTATGGGAGACTAACTTGAAATGTAAACTTCATTTAGACTACAACAATTAAAAAAAAAACAAAGAAATGCAAATACCCTTTCCCAGGCCTGTTGACTGGGAATCCCTTTGCTGGGGCTGCGTTGTGCTTCTTTTTAAAAATTCCACAGGTGATTCCGATGCCCAGTAAGGGCTGAGGACGAAAGGCCTGCACTGTGTTGCCCTATGTTAGAGTTAATAACGTGCAGCTTCCCATCTTCTGGTCTCCAACTTCCTGAGGGTCTTTTTCATCTTCATAATACCCTGTAAATCCAACCAGTTGCCATTGAGTCAACTCGGACTCACGGCGACCTTATGTGTGTTGTAGTAGAACTGTGCTCCACGGGGTTTTCAGTGGCTGAATTTTTTGAAAGTAGATCACCAGGCCTTTCTTCCGAGGCACCTTTCGGCAACTCAAATCTCCAACCTTTTGGTTAGCAGCTGAGCAGGTTAACCATTTGCGACACCCAGGGCCTCCATAATACCCTCTACAGAGCCTTAATTATAACAGATTCTAAATTTTTGTGGGATGAAGGGATTTGAAACCTCAGCGTTCTGGCAGAAAAACTTTTGCACCAGTATTTGAAGGCTTCGGCCTGAACTACATATGATTCCAGCGCTCCGTAAATATTGGGTGAGCAGCTGGCTAGGTGGTTGGCACCTAGGAAAGAGAAACGAGATAATAATCCAGTTAGATATCACGTGTTGGTCGTGGTTCCTAGGATCTGTTGGGAGGAACATGATGTGTCTGGCTGTGTTCTAAGGGCTTCACACACACTGTTGTTGCTGTTAGCTGCTGTAGAGCTGGCCTGTGACTCAAGGCAACCCCAGGCACAACTGAACGAACGCTGCCTGGTCCTGCGCCATCCCACGATCTTTTGCAGATCGGGCCATTGTGGAAGCTTTGCTGAAAACTGTTCAGCATCCTGGCAACACGCAAGCCGCCACGGACAGACTGGTGGTGGCTGCACGTGACGTGCAATTCATTCTCACAACAATAGTTGGATAAAGGGACTGTTAGCCCCACGTTTTAGATGAGGAAGCGGAGTCTCAGAGAGGGTAGGTAACTTGCTTCCTAGGTCGCACAGTTTGGAACCTACAGAGTCAGATTTAAACCCAGATTCTCTGACTTCTGAACACAAGTTCTTAAACTCTCTGCTGTAGCATTTTTCACCCAAAGTGGGTACAGCGTTAGCGTAATTTGGGGGACATTGTTGTTGTTAGTTGCTGTTGAGTTGGCTGTAACTCAGGGCAACCTTAGATATAATAGAAACGAGCCCTGGTGGCACAAAGGTTAAGCTTTAGGCTGCGAACTGAAAGGTTGGTGGTTCAAATCCACCCAGCAGCTCTGCCAGAGAAAAGACCTGGCCATCTGCTCTCGTAAAGATTAAAAACCAAAACCGAACCCATTGCCGTCAAATCAATTCTGACTCATAGCAATCCTATAGGACAGAGTACAACTACCCCCATAGGGTTTCCAAGGAGCACCTGGTGGATTTGAGCTGCCGACCTTTTAGTTAGCAGCCAAGCTCTTAACCATTGTGCCACCAGGGCTCCCTTGTAAAGATTACAGCCCAGAAAACCCTATGGGGCACTTGTGCTCTGTCACATGGGGTTGCTGTGAGTCAGAATCGACCTGCCCGTTCCATGCTTATCTCCATGATACGCGTGAGCCCACTGTGGAGGCTGTTGGGTTGGGGGGACATGAGGGTCCTTCCACTCTGCCCTACTTTTCAGCCTCTCTTCCTCTCTACAGCTTGCCTGCCTGCCCTCCTACCCTCTCTCCAATATTTGAGCACCAACTAGGATCCAGCACTGGGGTTCCAGAATAAATGACACAGTGCCCTCCCTCAGAGAGCAGAGAAGGGGAACAGGATTACCATAACCGTCTTAAATGGGAGGGCACTTTGCTACAGGTGCATGGGGGCACAGACGATAGATTGATCCATTTACTGTGGTGGCGGCCACCAGGACAGTCTTCCCCGAGGAAGGGACAACTGAGCGTAAGGAGGAGGTGGTAGGCAGAGGTGAGAAAGGGCGTTCTGAATAAAGGGAATAGTGTCTGTAAAGTCACAGTGGTGGGACAGCGTAGGAAGCCACTGGGAAACCCTACGTCGTTTATTGTGGCTGGAATGTGGAGGGGATGGTGGGATAGTGCCAGATGAGGCTGGAGTTGTGGGCAGAGAACAGAACATGGAGGGTTTTATCTGCTATACTCAGGAGTTTAGATTTCGTGTTCAGACGGTGGGGTGGTGGCGGTGGGGTGGTTAACAAGAGGAAAGGCGTGCACTTTGATGAGATTATTTTATGGGATTCACTCTGGTGACGTTATGGAAGTTGAGTAGGACTGGAGCCATTTTAACAGGACTGAGACTCTACTGAAGCTATTGCGGTACGTGGGGGTAGAGAGAGAATGCTTTAGTAAATAGGGGTGGAAACGAAGAGAAGGATATTTAATGTTAAGCAGATAGAATTGAAGAGACTCAGTGATGGTTTTGCATGTGAAAGCTGGACAATGAATAAGGAAGACTGAAGAAGAATGGACACCTTTGAATTGTGGTGTTAGAGAAGAATGTTGAATATCCCATGGACTGCCAAAAGGGTGAACACATCTGTCTTGGAAGAAGTGCAACCAGAATGCTCCCTAGAAGCAAGGATGGCGAGACTGCGTCTCACATACTGTGGATATGTTATCAGGATGGATTGGTCCCTGGAGAAGGACATCATGCTTGATAAAATAAAAAAAGTGAAAAAGAGGAAGACCCTCAAGGAGGTAGATGGACACAGTGGCTGCAGCTATGGGCTCAAGCCTAACAACGATTGTGAGGCTGGTGCAGGACCAGGCAGTGTCTCGTTCTGTTGTACATAGGGTCACTGTGAGTTGGAACTGACTCAACAGCACCTAACAATAACAGTGATGGTTTAAGGAGCCCCTGTTAAACTCTCGACTGCTAACCAAAATGTTAGTGGTTTGAACTACCCAGTGGCTCTGTGGGAGAAAGACCTGTTGATGTGCTCCCATAAAGACTACAGCCCCGGAAACCCTATGGGGCAGTTCTGCTCCTCCACATGGGGTTGCTATGAGTTGGAATCAACTCGCTGGCACCCAACAACAACAGTGATGGATTAGACTAGGGACATGAGAGGAAGGACGGATCTAGAATAACTTTGGTTTTGACTTCGTTGTCTGCACAGATTGTTCTGTAACTCATTCTCAGGAGAAGTAGTAGGTTTGGGGTGGGGGGAAGTGAGTTCATTGTAGACAAGATGTGTTTGAAGGACCTGTGGAACATGTCTGGTAGTCAGTTACACATGATGGTATAGAGATATGTCAGCCCTACGTAGGCACAGAAGTTTGAGAGCCGTCAGCACATTGGTCTCAGTTAAAACATGGAAGTGGATGCTGGTTGCTAGAGAAAGAGCATGAAGTGGAAGGGGAGCCCAGGACCAGGCATTAGGAAACAGTCCCTGTGGAGTAAGCAAAGCAGCCCAGCTCTGTCCTGGGGGCCTTTTTGACCTTGGAGAAATCCTTGGCTCTCTCTGTGCACCAGTCTCCTTGCTGATAAATCCAGGATTGGATTAGGTGATCAGTAAAGCCCCTTCCAGATCTGACATTCATTGATTCTAATCCTTTGGGTTCGTTTTCTTGATTGCTTTGGGACAAACAAGGCGTTTGTGTATTGCTCAATTTGGTAACTTTGCCGCCTTCTGTAAGCTCACGCAATTACGTGGACCCCTGGTCTCTTTCTCCTAAGCGGAGTGATTATTCCACGCGTGCCAACTCCACCAGCGCTCTTAGGAGACAAGCTGGAGCACCAGGAAAGGCAGGGCTGAGGGATGGAGCGCATTTCACGAGAGGCAGGCAGGGGCCATCTACAGCCCAGACTCTGAGGCTAGAGCCCTGGGCTTGAGTTCCTC